AAACGAAAAATCTTATTTATATTTTTCTATCCCACTTATTGAAAATATGTTGTCATCAATACGTGGTCCACGTGGAACAGATATTTTTAGATATTTCAGCTGGCTTTGAAATGTTAAAGCTAGTTTTTCCACCCCGCGTTGGATACACAACCTAGATGATTTATTTAATTATAATTTTTAGTCTTATTTTAAATAATAGTACTTCATATATTTCTTAATAATATATTCTAGTATTTTTAGTCATTTCAAAAAATAGAACATATATTTATTGATAATATATTTAAATATATTACTGATTTATTTCATTTAAATTTATTGACTAACCTGAATTAATAATAATCAATTTTTTAAAAAAATAAAATCAAAAGAAAAAAGTGTAAATAAACAAGACATTGACATGATTACACCGCTGGACCTACTCGTGCGAGTATGTGATGTCAAACGAACGAAAACGATAGGACAGAATTTGCTGCCTACAAGATTCCACGAATTTGAATTCTGACTAAGCTGTTTGGGAACGAATTATAAAAAGTCAAGTGCTAATTATTTATTTTGTTTTACGTACATTTTCCTCGGGTGGATCTAAAGTAATAATCACATTTTATATGATAGAATTTTTTAAAGAATGGTCAACTAGAATTTTCAACATTGTAACAATAATCGATCTACAAGACTACATCACAGAACTAAGTTTAAACATGAGTAAAGTAAAAATAAAATATTTCACACAATTAATACAAAAAAAAGAACACATTNAAAAAGTCTAGCAGCCTCTCAAAATTATTTATACAGTTAACCTGGATTTATCGAATCATGTTGGCAAATGGCAAAATTTGGATTACTAATATTAGCAATATTATAATTAAACCAATAATGAATTCTTGCGTAACCAATCTGAAAAAAATCATTAAACACGACTCTTACTTATAAATCCTCTTCATGCGTATTTATTTCAGCGGTAAAAAAATTTCCAAAATGAAAAATCTAAAAACTTGTAATAAACTATAATAAAAAAAATATGGAAAAACATGAACTCACCAAGAAGCAAGACGATTTGTGGTATGGTGCCCAGAAATTGAAACAAGCTGGCTCCAAAAATTCCAGGCCCAATCATCTGGAAAAACAACTCAGAGCCCATCCCCACATATCTTCCCCCAATACAGCAAAATCTCGTACACAGATAAGGAAAAGAAGCCCCCAAGCATTGCTCGAGCACGGCAAAAACCCGTAAGTCGGCTCACAAGTCTCGATTGTGGTCGAAAAACCCCATTCAAGGAAACTCGGCCAGCTCTCGGGCGCATCACCACCGTCGGATATCATCATCATTTGCCCATCGTTTGAAATCATCAGACGGCTATAAGCGAGTGGACTCGTCAGAAGAAGAATAAGAAGAGGAATTATTCATCTTCATGGTTACTATCATGATGATTTTAGTTTGAATGTGTTTAGGTGAAATGTATGTGTTTTGAANTCATGGTTAGTATCATGAAGATTTTAGTTTGAAAGTGTCTAGGTGAAAAGTTTGTGTTTTGACAGGTGGACGATGACTTTTTAAAGGGAATTGTTGAGGTTGTGAGTAGATGTACTTTGATATTTTGATTCTTCAATTGACTCAAAATTCACTTATATGTTCACGAAAAATGACATCGGAAAAGGGAATATATGTATATATATAAATAAATAAATATATAATGTTGTCAATTGTGAAATGTGTGCTATTATGAGGTACATTCATTGATCTAACAAATCAGTGATATACAAATTTTATACCTTACTAGCCTTTTGAAATATTTTTTATTCAAGCTGCCAACATTTAATGAGAATTAAACCATGGACAATGTCATTGTACCAAAATTGAAGGAGTTGAATATTCAGACATTTGCTAGCTTCTTGGATTGTTAAAAGATAGCATCACGGAACATATCTAGTACTTTTCTAATCTCATGTTTCATTGCGTTAGACGAATAACATTTAAACACGTGGACAAATATGGCATTTTTAAAAGTGAATGAGAATTCTACTAAAGGGAAGTGTGATTAAGATGAGATTGCCCTCGCATTCTTGGACCGACATAATCGTTTGGCTTCTCTAGCCTAGTTTATTTATGCTTATCATTTATTATTTCTTTTATTTCCTTTTATTTTCATTTTTTAGAAAGTAGGTATTTATCTATTTTACTTATTCCTTCTTGTTAGCCAAGACAGAATTTTAGTTGTAAGAGGTCTCCTTTCTTATTTATTTGTCGAGGTGTGAAGTTGAACCGCAGACTTTGATTGCAGAAATAAAATCAATCGAGAATTTATTCTCTTATTCCCTTCATTTGTGCGTTTGCTGCGTCAGTTGGTATCACGAGACCAGACACGATCCACGATGCCTCTGAAGAGAAATACTGTCGATGAGCAATGGGATGCGACGATCGAGGCTCTCATCCGCAGATGCAATACGTCTGACCGTCTCATGGAAGCGTTAACCGGGAGGATCGAGGACGTTGGCCATCAATACTAACAATCACGGCAATCAGGCGAACCGTGGCCGCGGCGAACGGCACGGGGGAGCCCGAGGTGGTCGCGGCTGGGGTGATCGCGGGGGGCCCCGCGACCAGTCTCTTCCTTCGTGGGATGGCGATGGTGACGATGACGACGACACCGTCTCCGATGTGAACCCCTTTGGACATCCAGACCGAGAGGATGATGTTCCGGCTGACGAGAGGCGCTGAAAGTCTTCATTTCGCGTGGATATCCTGGAATTTACCGACGGCCTCGAGGCGTTGGATTTTTTGGATTGGATGACCGCAGTCGAGTCCGCCTCGACTTCAAGGAGGTTCCGGTAAATTGGCGAGTGGAGCTGGTCGCTACTCGGTTTCGCGACAGAGCAGCCGTGTGGTGGCAGCAACTTAAAGCATCGCGGCGCAGGCTGGGCAAACCTAAAATCACCGCCTGGGCTAAGTTTCGAAAACATCTCGATCGTGAGTTCCTTCCTTACAATTATATGCGTTCTCTTTTCATTCAATTCCAAACCCTAAGACAGGGGCAGCGTTTTGTTAATGAATACACCGAACACTTTTATCGGCAATCGGCATGTCCTCGTAATGGCAGCGGCAGAGCCTTGTTCACCGACGAGACGGGAAATTTTGGGGACGGCGTGGTGTATGATGCACCACCTATTTTCGACGAAGAACCACCGGTGGCCGAAGAGCATTGGATTGGGGACGTCAGGACAACCCACGTTATTCGGCGATCCTGCTTGGCTCCCAGATTGGATTCTACTGAGTTGGTTCAACGACACCACATATTTGAGTCTACGTGTACCGTGGGCGGCAAAATTTGCCGGTATATTATCCACTCGGGCTCTTGCGAGAATGTGGTGGCCAAGGATGCTGTGGAGAAGCTTAGCCTATTAACCGAGCCACATCCACATCCATACACCCTTGCTTGGATACAGCGCGGTAACTCCGTTATAGTGGACCATAGCGTCTTGTTTTCTTTTTCGATCGGGCCCAGGTATCGCGACTCGGCGTGGTGCGACGTTGTCTCAATGGATGCCTGCCATCTACTATTGGGACGTCCTTGGCAGTTCGATCGCTCGGCGGCCCACAACGGTCGTTTCAACACCTATAGCTTCTTGTTTGAAGGTGTTAGGATTGTTCTCCATCCGCACCACTGCGTTCATTACATGATCCTGCTTCCTCTCCAGTTGTCCTTTCCCAAGCCGCGTTCGTAGGTGAAATGCGCGAGACCCCTTATGTTCTTCTTCTACTGGGCACGGACTTGTCAGCCACACAGTTACCCCCAGCAGTCGTTCGTCCATTGCTCGAGGAATTTGCGGATGTCTTTCCAGAGGACCTTCCAGCCGGTCTACCTCCTCTCTGCCAAATCGCCCTCATTATCGCATGAGCCCACCTGAGCACGACGAGTTGCGGCGACAGGTGGAAGAACTTTTAAAGCGCGGCGCGGTCCGGCGTAGTCTGAGTCCATGCGCGGTGCCCGCATTGCTTATTTCAAAAAAGGACAGTTCGTAGTGCATGTGCGTAGATAGTCGAGCAATTAACAAGATTACCGTCCGTTATCGCTTTTCCATTCCCCGCCTTGATGACTTGCTCGATCAACTGCACGGAGCTACTATTTTCACGAAGCTCGATCTTCGTAGCGAGTACCATCAGATATGCATTCGGCCTGGGGACGAGTGGAAGACAACCTTCAAGATTCGCGAAGGGTTGTTTGAGTGGATGGTCATGCCATTTGGTTTGTCGAACGCGCCCAGTACATTTATGCGTGTCATGAATCAAGCACTTCGGGATCTTATAGGTAAGTGTGTTATCGTTTATTTTGACGATATTCTTATTTATAGTCGTATGTTGGATGATCATTTATCACATGTGCGTTCGGTTTTGCTTATACTTCGTGCTGACTCTTTCTTTGCGGCCCCTCGCAAGTGTTTTTTCTTGGTGGACTCTGTACTGTTTCTGGTATTTCGGCAGAGGGTATTCGTGTCGATGAGGTGAAGGTGCAGGCAATTCGCGACTGGCCGACTCCTACGTCCTTTACCGAGTTCGTAGTTTTCATGGTTTGGCATCTTTTTATCGGCGTTTTATCTCACACTTCAGTTCGATAGCGGCACCTATTACTGATTGCATGACTGGCAAGACCTTCACATGGACTCCGGAGGCTGAGGCAGCTTTCACTCTTCTCAAGGGCAGACTCACGATCGCGCCCGTTTTGGTTCTTCCGAAGTTTTCGAGACCTTTTGAGCTATCATGTGATGGTTCGAAGGTCGGCATTAAGGCGGTTTGAGTCAGGATGGCCAACCGGTCTCATTCTTCAGCGAGAAGTAGTCTGGTCCTCGCCTTCAGTACAGCACCTACGACATTGAGTTTTATGCGGTGGTTCTACCGAGAGTTTATTTTGTTCACAGACCACGAGGCACTTCGTCATCTTGCCTCACAGGATAACATTTCAGCCCGCCATGCATCCTGGACGGCGTTCCTTCAGCAATTCACGTTTGTCTTACATCATCATTCGAGTGCTTCCAATCAGGTGGCCGATGCTTTAAGCCGCAGGGCATTGGTTTTGATGGATATGCGAGTTGCCATCGTGGGTTTCGACTTGCTTAAGGAAGTCTATGACACAAATCCTTTTTTTGGCCCGATTTTGTCACATCTCCAGTCTAGCCCTTTTGAGGAGTATGTGCTGACGGATGGGTTTATTTTTCGGGGTATGCGCTTGTGTGTGTCGGACTGCAGTCTCCGGTTGCAGTTGATCGCCGACCTGCATGGCAGGGGACATGTGGGGTGCGACCGGTCCGTCGAGCTCATTCAGCGATCTTATTTTTGTCCCACTTTGCGGCGAGATGTCTCTTGCCTTGTCGCCCGTTGCAGGACTTGTCAGGTTTCGAAGGGGGTTGCGTCGACTGCGGGCCTTTATCGCCCTTTGCCGATTCCATCACAGCCATGGAGTGCCATCAGCATAGATTTTGTGTTCAGTCTCCCTCGCATGCAAACGCGGTTTTGATTCCATTTTCGTGGTGGTGGACCGTTTTTCGAAAATGGTTCCGTGCAAACGCACGACGGACGTCGTGCATATCGCTCAGTTATTTTTGCGGGAGGTGTACCGCCTGCATAGACTACCGTCATTTATTGTGTCCGACAGTGACACCCGCTTCTTGAGTTTCTTCTGGTGTAGCCTTTGGCGGCAGGCTAACACTCGTCTCGATTTTAGCAGCGCTTATCACCCGCAAACTGACGGCCAAACCGAGGCAGTCAATCGATCTTTGGGGAACTTATTGCGTTGTTTGGTGGGCGAAAATCTTCGAAGCTGGGATCAACGCCTCAGTCAGGCCGAGTTCGTCCATAACTCGGCCGTTAGTCGGGCTACGCGGCTTTTCCCGTTTCAGGTCGTCTACGCGGTCCAACCGCGGGATCCGGCGGACTTGGTGGCCTTGCCGTCCACCGAACCACTTGATCGGCATGCGACTGATTTTGTGGCCGATTTGCAGCAGACTCATGCCACGGTCCGAGTGAACTCGGAGGCGAGTATGGCAGCTTATAAGCGGTATGCGGATGCTCGCCGTCGACATGTGGAATTCGAGGTTAGGGATTTTGTTTGGGTGGTGTTGACTAAGGACTGTCTCTTGGCACATGAGTATAACAAACTGTCCGCTCGGAAGATTGGGCCCATCGAGGTTATCGAAAAGATCAATCCCAATGCCTATCGTCTGTGTCTGCCTCCCCATGTCCGTACGTCCGATGTTTTTAACGTCAAGCATCTGGTTCCTTTCCTTGGTGACAACTCCGACAAAGACGAGATTCTGCGTGATTCGAGAGCGAATCCTTTTCAACCGGGGAAGGATGATGAAGACGAGATTGCCCTCGCATTCTTGGACCGACATGATCGTTTGGCTTCTCTAGCCTAGTTTATTTATGCTTATCTTTTACTCCCTTCTATTCATAATAAGTGTCGTTTTGAGAAGTTGCACACTAATTAAGAATAATTTTTTTGTCAATAATAACCCCCATTAATGAAGATAGAGATTAATGTTTAAAAAAAAAAAAGATGAAGAAAATATGAAAACACGTAATGTATTTATTAACTAAATGAGGGTAATAATGAAAAAATATATATAAAAGATCCAAAACGACATTTATTTTGGTTAATAGTTGATAAAGCTAAAATGATATTTAAAAAGAATAAGAGGTAGTATTATTTACTTTATTTCCCTTTATTTCCATTTTTTAGAAAGTAGGTACTTATCTATTTTACTTATTCCTTCTTGTTAGCCAAGATAGGATTTTAGTCATAAGAGGTTTCTTTTCTTATTTATCTATCGAGGTGTGAAGTTGAACAGCAAACTTTGATTGCAGAAATAAAATCAATCAAGAATTTATTCTCTTACTAGTATTCGACCTGTGTATTTGCACATATATAAATAAATTATTGTGAGTCTATATGCATATAATGATTAATTATTTTCTTTCACTTTTTTTGCAGACCAAATTTACAATTAAAAGAGTTGTAATATTTTTTTTTTTTTAATTGCGTTTATCTGATTGGATGTAATGTATATTTTGGTACGTCTTTTATTTGTGAATTATTTATTATTTATTTAGGAATTTCAAATATATTTTTATTTAAAAAAAAAATTAAATGTAACAACAATAATAACATCTAATCACATTATACGGTCAACACATTATATGGTCAACTGTCATTAATCAAAAGTTTAAAATGATTTTTGTAATTTTGAAGTGATGAGTATTAATTATTTAATGATTAAATGAAAGATTAAATACATCAAAATGTAACGGTTTTTGGAGGGAAAATTGTTAAATTGCCACATAGGTAAAATTAAATAGGTTTTATTAAATGTTATTAGCTAGTAATTATATATATATAGATTCCCTTCATTTTGCTGCGTCAGAGTGAAAATTAAATTTTTCATATAAAGTGAATCTTGATCGGAATTCAGAACAAGGATACATACACCTGATCAAAATTCAACTATGAAATTTCCAGCTGTATATGTACATGTGACTCAATAGAAAAATAGGGAAGTACTTCAAATGTCAACCTCATGTTATTTTCAGTTTCGCGTACAAGGAACCAAACAGCGCAATAAGAAAAATCAAGGAAAAAAAAAAAAAAAAAAAAAAAAAATCTAGAGTCTAAATTGCTCCCTGCACTTGTCAACTTCATAACTTATCAATTCTATTAGAATCTTAACTAGACAAAAATCATGAGCATCCACTGATTTTCCTCAAGTTAGTCCCATATCTGAGGCGCGTATATTTAAAAATAGACAAATATTTTTACTGGATCAAGAAATCGATTAAAGAGGTCTAGGATTGATTTTCTGGTGCTGGTAAAATTGTGGGGCCACCTCAGTCAGCCAAGATGGGTCGATCGAGATGACATTGCGCATGTATTGACGGTCAGTGGAGACGATTGAGTGGAATATGACCCATTTTGGATTTACTCTGCAATATGAGTTTTTACAAAATCAGATTTACTTATTTACATGTGCATTCTTTATAAAAACATGAATTCCGTATGGATCTTCATATTTTGCGTTGTGGGTTTATGTGCTCTATGGTGGTATTATCTCTTAAATTAGTAAAAAAGAAAAAAAGAAAAAAAAAACTATCAAGAAATAAAAAATCTGAACTAACCTGAATAGCACGGAAGAAGGATGGATATATACTTCTTGGGAGCTTCGTATGGTCTTGTATAGCCCGTTATGACTGAATGCCTTTTAAGATACAAGATAACAGCAGATAATGATCAAATTAAACCTGCCAAAATTAATCTAATATATAATTGCAGAAAAAATACTTACATCTAAACGGCAAGCATTAGCGAAAAATCCAGCAGTGATTGCCTTCCTAACTACCTGAGTAAATAACAAAAAAAAAAGATAAAAACAAATATGATGGTGATCAGGTATATATTTCCATAATCATTATTTCTACATTTTGATATATTAGTTTTGGTTTCAAAAGGCATAGTTTTACTTTACCTGCATATCACCTTCACAAGATTTCAAGGCTATTCCTAAACGTTGAACAATTCTTCTCAGCTGTTTTCGGATTTCATCGACTTTTTTCTGAAGGGAGACCAAATGAATTTCTTAAAAAAAAAAAAGTGTAATGAGAAAATAAATTTTCAGAACTGTGTGTCTAAGATAACTCACCATGGCATGGTAGTTTACATGGTTTTTGTGACACCAGTTTGAAGATTTACCAGACTCGATAAATCCTTTATACACGTTCAAGAAAGTCACATGATCCCCCTGCAAACAGCAAAAATGTTCTGTGTTAATATTAATTGCTAGTTAGATAGTAACTTAAAAAAACTCTGGCTAAGGTACATAAAATACTGTTTTAATTTGAAACGAAAAAGTACCTCAGAGGCGGCAAATCTCAACTTAGCTTCATCCAATTCCTTTTGAGCTCCTCTAACAGAGAACCATATCGACTGCACAAACGTCAAAAAATAATGGTATTTACTGAAGTACTGCTTCAAATAACTAACAATGTCACATTATTGATGAAATTCAGAATACTTAATGATCCAAATAAAATAGCACGAGAGATATTAACCTGTATAGACAGCACGGCAGCAATTGTTATAATTTCTTCAGAACAGCCATAGTCATTCGAAGCTAAAATCATTTTGGAAACCATTGGTTCCTACAAAAGAGTAGAGCAATTTAGAAATGAAATAAAGATTACAAATTGGGTTAAAATTTCTCCTTACGACTCCCAACTCGGTATTAGCAACTGCAAGATACACACAGAATTTTTCTTTTTGGTCACCCATTTGAGCTATAAACATTTTTTTTCTTACTCCTATCAAAATATTATTCTCTCGTGGAAATTTCATTAGAAAAGATATAAAAATGAGCTGTGAAAAATTGACATACTAAAGGAATTTCTGCAATTTGGAATCCAGCAGGAGATGTGAGTTTTGCATCATCATTGATTACTCCAAGTGAGTACAACACTTCGAGTGCTCTGATTAGTGCTTCAGGAGAAGGTGATGCTGGCCAGTCGAACCCCAAAATGTTGTCTATCCCTAGGGCTTTTAACTATCAGAAGAAATACAAATAGTCACACCTTAAAATATCCCAAGGAAGAAGCGAACGGTTCAAATTTAGGTCACGGAAATACTACAAATGTGACTCCATGGAGATAAAATTTCCGTGAAAATAATACGTAGTCAAATTAATTTATAAATAACAAATACCTGAATCACACAGGAAACAAGATTTGATCTTTGCATCTCTGGTACACCATCAGGAGACATCTCGTTCATAAAATATTCTTCTGTATAAAGCCTGTATATGGTGAAAAATAGAATAATCTCATTAGTTATTCTACTTTAGTTCCCCTTCTTCTTGAGCTGTGTCAGAGCAGAAAGTCTTTTCTTACTGAGACTGGAGATTTCTTATCTAGACTATTTAAACTCATACATGTCTGAAGTTTATTTGATTTATCAAGAGTAATCATATGGTTAGAGCAATCTTTCATGCATGAGAAGACAAGTTCGAGCACCTGTAACACTTTCCTGGCCGCACTCTTCCGGCTCTACCAGCCCTTTGTCGGGCGGAAGCCTTAGATATTGGAGCCACAACTAAATTTTCAATATCCGTCACCTGTTGTAAATTGACATATAGCTTCAACTTTGACATAGAAGAATTATAAGCTTTCTATTCATCAAGAGAAGTTCTTATTTAAATCTGTCGACATAATCATCAGTTGAAGTAATTTTCATTTCTAATGTCAGTATGTTTAAAAGATCTTCGTTCGGAAAAACAAATGGATCAAAATATGCTAATTTTTTTTTTAAGAGAAATGAATGACACTGATAAGAAAAAAGAACCAAAACAAAAGTATCAACCGTCTAAAGTTTCACCGGAATCATAGAAAAAGGTACAAAACACGATATGCACAACAAAAGCACTAGAAACAAGTACCGGATTATAAAAGCGTTGCTTTGAGAAACCACAGTCAACAACGTAGACGACACCCTAAAATGAGGATAGAAAGAAACAAGGATCATTAACTAACTTGAAGCCTATAAACAGAAATGAGTACCCATT